ACGTGATTTAGCTCGAGGCGCCTGTAGAGATCGGAGCCATGGTTTCCCCCATGCAGCAGGCACTCCCTCGCCATAGACAAAGAACCCCCGCCGCGCCGCGAGCAATGCAGGTCCTCTCAGCCTACAATCGAGCCGCCATAGCCCGCCGCTCGCCGCCCTATGCCGCAATCCCGGCGCTGGAGAGGCCCTTCCATCCCAGATCCGCCAGAATTCGAGCCTAGAGCGAAGTAATCACGGCTGGCGATCGCAATGCAGGCCCTGGAGCTCCGATCGCTGCCGGAGCTGGAAATCGCCTCGAATTCCCTGTGATACGCTCCAGCGAGGCCGCGCTTCCCTGTACTAAGCGTGAACTGAGCCCTAAGATATAATTTCTTTTTTTACCCGAAAGGAGCCCTAAGATGATTTGCGCCGTTATTTACGTGCTACAATTCAAACGCAACGAGAGTGTGCCACGTGTTAACGTGCCCTAACTCCGTAACGGGCGGGTGGTTTGTTGTACGTCAAACTCACTAAAAACAAAAGCTCCAGGAATTGTTCAAAGTCGGGGGTGTAGCTCAGATGGTAGAGCGCTCGCTTTGCATGCGAGAGGTACCGGGATCGATACCCGGCGTCTCCATATAAACCATGATTTTGATTTTCTTCATTTAATAAAGTGTTTTGTTTTTCTTGTCCAAAAAAGAGTAGAAGTTTTTTAAACTTGCTTGTCATTCTTGTCAGCTGTCCAATTTTCCAGGATTGTTGGACATCGTTGAGTCGAACAAGTCATCGCATAAGATTCCATAGTTTTTTCTATGGAAAATATTTCTCGTATAAAGAATAGGTTTTTTCTTCAACTCCCTGGAACAGTGCGGATGTTCGTGGCTACTGGGCGTGGTCTTTGCTAGTCAATTGGAAGTTGAATAACGCATATAGCCAAAGATTTGGTTTAAGCACTTTTCTCTCTAACACAGAATGTAGTGGTCCATCACTTTCCACGGTGATAATCGAAGGATTAGTTCTGCTTGACGTGGTTGATATTCTAAAACAAAAACATAAAGATCAGGATATGAAATTGAGATAGAATTATTACCGTGCCTCCAAGTTTCTAGGCCGTGATTGAGCTCCACAATGTCCACGGAGTTGCGAAGATCTCGACTCCTTGACAGTGGACGATCCCCGGCGTAAAGACGCATCGATTGTGATAGTCTCTAAACGTAATTGAATGCAAGAACCTGTAACGAGCTATAAGTAAAGGAGGAAGCTCAAAGTCGAGAGCTCTACGAGCGGCTGCAATATCTTTCGGAAGATTTGAGTATGCTTCATACCAAACCGAGTCTAGCGTCATTCCAATGACACCACGCTAGTTGGCCTGCTTTGTCAATCAGTCAAATCAGATAAGGACTGAAGAAAAAAGTTGATGGAAGAACAAAAAAAAAACCAATAGTGGGGTGCTTGCCGTAGAATGGAAACCAATGGAGCGGAGCCTTAATTTCTTCTCAATGCCATCCTGAAAACAAAGAAACAAAGATTTGAGACTAAACTCTTTGATGCTTGCGGACACACAGGATTGAACGACGAGACAATGTATTGCGCTGATAGAAAATTTTGGTTTCCCTTCCTCGTATTAGGCCGCGGCTCCATAATTCCCTAGTCCAGAGCCTTGGTTTGGACCATCTCTAGCCCAGTGACCCCTTGACACTTGAAACAGCCACGGCCTCCGAATGATCCTGTATTGCCAAGACCGCCGCTGCCATATCACCACCGCCACCACCACCTGTTCACCCTGTAGCCACTCCATTTTCATTGCAACAATCATTGATCCTTGAAAATGGTGCGGACATTTTTTATTTCTGTTTTAAATTTATTTATTTATTGTTTTAACTGAGCATATTTTTTGTTATTGTTTACAAGGTTACAATGATACTTTACAAGGTCTCCATTTCAAGATCATGATCAATTCATCCCTCCAGAGACATAAAAAATAAAGAATGATTTTGGCTTTACATAGTCT